CCGTGCAGTGCACGCAGCACACACCAGGCATAAAGCTGAAATTCCAGACCGGTAGGGGCACGAGGTGTTCGCTCAAGCACTGCAGAACCTATGAATGAAGGGAGGTTTACTCAAGGGGCGAACCAGGACCATCAGGATCCAACTCATGAAGGGCAGATGTGTCTTTTTGGAGAAGGTGCATTGAGCCCCGCAGCCTGCGAACTGCATGGGTGGGAAGAGAGAAAGACACCAGATGGGACTGATTGGGACTAGAAGCTTGCGACTACGTCGCTGGTAGTTCAGCGGTTCACATTTGCCGCTTTTTTTGCAAACTGCAGATCCAGGACATGCAGAATTATTTAGACAGGATGTGGTATTGCTTCAATCTAAAAAGTCACTAAGTCTCGAGCCCTCGAATCTCAGAGGCGATTCTCCGGAATCCCGACATCCTACGCGCAGTCGGGGAGGTCGGAGGGTGAATGTTCACAGCGACAGTAGGCCGTCGACCTTGGGTGCAAGGGTTTCAGCGTTTGTAGTTTCATAGCCGGCGACCTGGATGTGTGGAGTTGGGGTCATTTTCGGGAGGCTTCTCTAGCTTCTTTGCTCGTCTTCATCGTCAGGATGAGTATCCCTACGTATCGTTACCATGATCATACCTGCGTTTCTCGGTGTTCACTTGTGTGTTACATGGTGAGGAAAGCACCTGGAAAGTGCAATGCTGTTTTGACTCCATGTTTTGTTGATCTTCTTTCAGGTCGCTCGAACCAAGAGACGTGCGTGATCCCCAAAACACGGGTGTCCACGTTGCGGTTACCGTTTTGATCGTCATCGTTGTCGTGGTTATAATGGTGATGGGCGCTGCGGTCTTTGTGAGCATGGTAGTTGGTGGTTGTCAGCTGCCCTTCGTCGTTTTGTTTTCCTGAAGCTTCCGCCCTTCCTGCGCCAGGTTCTGGGGGGCGAGTTCGTGGTGCTTTGGCGCAGACATCAGATCAATGTTCTCAGAAGTGTACGGAGCATTACGGAGCTGTGTAGGGGTTGACGGAATTCAGATTTCATCTTCTGGCTACTGCTTGGAAGGTGAGGTTCGGGCGTGGAGGTTGCAAGAGATTCTAGGCTGGGCTCCGCTCAAGGCAACGGGCTTTCCGGCTGTTGGACATCGGGCGCAGGTTCAAGCTAGCATACAGACCAAGGCTCGACGCCCCAGCAAACAAACCCCAGGGTTGAGGGTTTAGGGTTTAGGGTTTAGGGGTGCGTTGCAAAAGGCTTCAAAAGACCAGAAAGGCACTACTCAGAGCCTCCAAGCTTCGCTCAGGCGAGCAACTGGATGGCGAATGTTTTCCCACCGGTGGAACCTGATCTGAAGGCTTAGGGGTGCAAAGACGCCAAGGAGTCCAGGGGATCCAGGGATCCAGGGAGTGTAACCAGGGTGTAGGCAAAGCACTGTCGTATTCGAAGTGAAGAAGCTTGAGGCCCAAGATCAGCAGCATAACATGGGGCTTGAGTTCTTAAAGACCAAGGTTGAGGCTGCAGGACCGCAGGACGGTTCAAACCCCCATCGCTACTCTCGACAGGAGAGCCCATTGCTGTAGACGCAGCATGGCGCAACTCAGACCCAGCACAAGGCAAGAGCCCCTCTTCTACTTGGACCACTTCCTGCCCCCAGCCAGGAAAGCTTCCCAAACTCTGAGCGGCCGGAGTGCGAGCGCGGCCCCATCTGCTGGCACGAGGAGACTTGACCCCCAAGCTTCCAACCCAAAAGGCCTGCATCGCCACAACAAGCCTTGAAGCATCTTCGAGCACTTCACTGGAGGACGTGGAACTCACCATGGCTCTGCCAAAGTCGCACTACGCGCAGTGTCCAGGCTGTTCCAGGAGGGCTTTGGAAGAATCTTGCACAGCCTGGCACCTTGCTTCCTCCCAAAAAAAGGAGTGTTTGGCAGTCGTTGCCTGCGGACAGAAGAACTCTCTTTAGAGTCGAGAGTCTCTAAGTTGCGTTCATTCTAACGCCACCCTCTGAAGTGCTGAAGCCATGTACGCGCAGGGTCCAAGGTTTTGGGGTTCACGGTTATTCCGCAGTTCCTCCTAGCACGTGGCAATGGGCTGGCAAGGTATGTGGCGATGGCATACTTCCCGCAGGAGGTTCGAGAAGAGACTTGACCCGAAAAAACACCAAACGGGCCTGCACGCCGAATCCTGCATGCGCTAAATTGGAAGTACTAGTACAGCAACGCTGAGACATGCTGAGACTAAAGGAGGCGCTTGGGGCATTGGGGCCATTAGGGTTTAGGGTTTCGCTGCGCTTGTTGCTTCAGCCCGGAGGGCTTGGAGAAGCAGCGGCTGTGTTGGCATGGTTGCAGAGCATACTGAAAGAACAGGTGCAAGTTATTCCGCACTCCCAGGACATGGGCTACACAGAGATGATCTCTGGGTCACATCTCCTGGGCGTGCCGCACGAGACGGCCGGATACCAGGGCGAGCAGCTCAGCTGAACCTGACTTGGGCTTGTCTCGGGGGGCCTTAGGATTCGGGTTGTAGGGTTCAGAGAGGATTCTTTCTGGAGAAGCTTGGTGCCAAAGCATTGTGAAGGTTCACCGATATGTGAGTTCGCAATTTAGCCTTGTACCCCCGTGAACCCTGACCCTAAGCTTCAACTTGACAGCTCGTTCGCTGCCTTAGACTTTTCCGACTTCGGATTTAGGGTGGATGTTTGGCTTGGGTCTTGGAGCACAGGCTCTTTTTGTTGGATGGCCGATGCTTAGATGATTTCTGAGGGCCGACCTGCAATGCCCCCTCAAATGCCTTGCTAGTACCCTTCTAGCAGCTCGCCTGAGCGTCACTCCCGGAAACCCTTACTACAGCCTACTACAGCCTACTACAGTCTGAGTCTACTACACTCTACTATCGTCTACTACAGTCTGCTACAGTCTACTACGTCTACTACAGTCTACTACAGTCTTCTACAGTCTTCTACAGTCTTCTACTACAGCTTGCAAGGTACCATTACCCTGAGAACGAGTCAGCCTGGCTCGCAGGATGGCTCCTTGACATGCAAGTGCCGGATCATTTGGGGGGCTTGATCAAGATGGTTGCGGTGAGGATGTGGGGAGCGCTCCGTGTTTAGGTGTGTTTCGGATTCAGGCAGGATCCGAGGAGGTCCTAGCGCTGAAACTTGTGGAGTTTTCATCTATGCCAAGACTGCCTTGGCTAGTGCGACAGTATCTGCGAGTCATAACAGTCAATTCTTTTAAGCTGGTATCCGTTTAGTATCCAGAGTTAGTGCAGAGAAGGCCCAACGGTTGGCCCAACGTGTTTACACTTCGAGCCTGTATACCGTATAGAAAAAGAGATCGGCCGTAGAAACATCTTAAACATCACGTGGCATCCGAAGCCGAGTTGAGGCGGACGTCGAAGGTTCTGGGTCCTGCTGGCGTGGTTGTGCTGAAGCATCCTCGAGCGCTACATCGCTACCTGGTGCGGACAAGAGTTTTTTACTTCAACATTCCTGTGGAAAGTCGGTTTGGGGCGCCCTTGCTTATCATACTGCGCGAGGTGGTTTGATGTTGGTCGCACTGTGAATACGAGAGTCGGATTCAGCCTGTTGCTCAGATGTCCGAGCTTGCGCGACCTGGTTGACAGTGATTACTTGGGGTCTGAGGGTTTGTGGTTACAGAGCTTCGAGCTTTGGTCCCTTTGGTTCGGAACTTTTCTTGCTGACTCAGATGTACCCAACGCGTCGAGACTCCGGCACACGACCGGCCCTAAACCTTTGTCGCGATGTTAGAACTCCAAACGTTTGTACAACCCTCAACCTTAAACCCTCAAGCCCTCAAGGAACCCATGGGAGTCAAGGTTGAGGATCGCTTTAGATGAGGAGTCAAACGCAAAGACTCCTCCCGGGCAGACGTTCAAAGTGCTTCTTCTAGACCCAAAGCGCGAAAGAACGGTCTTTAGGGTTTAGGGTTTAGGGTTTAGGGTTGCTCGTAAAACAGACAGGCTTCGCCCCTCCATCTCTGCATCGCTCGGATTGGCGCTGGGCTGTGAACATCGTTGCTGGGCGCGAGAGATGGAGCAGGGTGACAGGGTGTAGGTTCCGCCCTGCTATTTTGTTCTTTGCTGATATACAACTCACCGCTACACATCCCTAAATGCCATGACTGCGGCAGGGCATGTGTAGTGCTTCTTCAGTTGGGTGTACAGGTTGGGACGGGATGCTGGTTCGGTTGGAGATGACATTGTTGGAGGGAGGTTTTCGAGGTCAGGTCGATTCCTCTCATGCCATCATCCTGTATGGCCGATGCCCCAAACTCCTGAACCCTTACAGCCTTAAAACCCGCTCTAACCCTAAACCCTAAACCCTAAACCCTAAACCCTAAACCCTAAACCCTAAACCCCCCAACCCAAAGAGGCCCTTAGCAGCCTTAGCCATGGGTGCCAAGGACTTTGTGCGGCTGAAGCAGCCCCGTGTGGCGCCGGGTCATCTCAGGCTTCCCCGCGCTCAATGGATTTGAGGATAGGATCGGATAGAGGGTGTTTAGTGTTTAGGGTTTAGGGTTTAGGGTTTAGGCTTAGGGTTTAGGGTTTAGGGTGGTCTTTGCGCTGCCTGGGCTTCTCTTCATTTTTTGATTTTTGGCTTCAGAGGGCTTCAAGTGTGGAGAATCTCAGCTTGCGGTGAAGGGGCCTGCTTGGGCTCAGCGTTTCGGCTTTGCATCCCTTAGCCTTCTCCTCCACAGATCGAGTGCAGAAACTGCAAAAAAACCCTCAAAGCTGTCTTGTTCCCTGAATGATCAAGGAAGACCATTCAAGAACCCGTAGCCCCAACGCCATGAAGACTTTCTCAAGGTTCATTGTCTCACATGGGGCATTGACTCTTTCTGGTCACCAGGCTTTTGATCCCGGTGTATTCCGAGACTCGTACGCCTCCATACTCTTCCCCACTCTCTGAAGAACCTGGCATCCCTAAACCCTGATTCCCCGACCCTCTAGTCTCCGTAGGCGCGCAGTCTGCAAGGCTCCTGGAGGTGATGACAGCTGGATGGCCTCCGGCGGCAGTCGACAAGAGCCTGGAAGACCTCAAGGAACAGCCCCTCGAGCCAGGATTCAGGGGCTGTGACGCTGCATGAAGTGGTCGATAGCGGAAGAGTATAGGCAACGACTGGGCACCTTGGCTCCCTCTCTAAGCAAGATGGTATCCGTATGAAGTTATGACTTGACCCCCTAGAATCCAAGCGCGACTTTCTAGGCCCATGTCTCAAAGGTCAGCAAAAGTCCGAGCCGCGTATGCCCTGGCTGCGCGCGGCAACGACGACGATCTCGTCGAGTGCCTGTGCGCAAAGTCCTCTAGGCCTTACCCGCAAGAAGTACGTGAACTTTAAGAAGCTCAACAAGCCAAAAACAAAGATTGCAGGAATGCGCTACCAGGAAAGCACCACCTGAAGTAGGCGCGCGTTGAGAGGCGTTGGGGACCGGTTCTTTGAGGCTCAGGGCTTGAACCTCCGCGTCGCCTTGAAGGCTCTAGTTGAGTAGCTTGGGCTCACGGAGCGCCTCACAAGCAACCCGACACTGTAATATGGAGGTCGGAAAAATTACTCAAAGTATTCCGTTATGGTCCCTATGTAGATATACTATAATAGCCCCAAAGCCCCAGTCTAGTAACCCCAAAACCCTAGTCTAAGTATTTAGGCCGCTATGGTATCTGGTTATGTGAGGGCTCGATTCTCAATTTTTTGACCCCAGGCCTGACCCGACAGCTTGAGGAAACCTCGCAGCCTGCCTTACAAACTCCCTGAGCCAAGGCTTTTCCGAGCTCTCAACAGCACCTTGATGATGCTTTGAGATCTTCTCCATGTACAGCTTCAGAGTTTGACAGTGTGTCTGAGGCTGTTCAGGAATTCGACCTAAAGTGGACTTCGGCGTCAACTCCGCCAGATTTCAAGTTTCTGGCTTGTTGCCTTGCATATTCTAGAAACCCTGAACACCCCAAGACCAGGCGGTTGCAATTTCCCTGGAAGCTCCCAAACCCCCGACTGATTATGCTGACAAGGTGCCGCAAGGAGCACGAGGGTTGGCTAACCTATCGTTGAACAAGGACAGTGTGCCTTTCCATACCCGGAGGTTTAGGGTTTTTGGAGGTTCGAGGCTTGCGAGCTTCATCTCACAGCGAGCAAGCGTGGAGAAGGGTAAAGAACCCCAGCAAGAAGCCTCTTGCAGTACCGTGCCAACAGCACTTGAACAAAGGGACATCCAGTAGCAATCCTGCAAAGCATGATGTAAGTTGAAACTCCAAAGTTGGAAGGATGGCGATGAAAGTACGCTTGAACAGAATGGGAGCACAGCTGCAGCGCATTTTTTGCATGGAAGTTCAGCAGGAATCTCCCTAAGCCCTGAACCCTAAACCCTAAAAGAGCCACACTGCGAGCTGAATAGAGAAGAGCCCTAGCAGAGTCCACTGCAAGATATTTACCAGCTCTGGGTCAGTGGTCTCTAGATGTTCTGGAGGCCCCTAAATCCTAAACTCTTAAACCCTTAAGCCCTTAAACCCTTAAGCCCTTAAACCCTTAAAGCCCTTAAACCCTCAAGCCCTTAAACCCCTCCTCTGGCCCATAGAGCTGACACTCGAGGCCACGATCCCCCCACTCGCATGGCGGCCGCGGGCGGTTTGGCGGCGGCAGCTATGGCAAGCGAAAGACTTCTTAGACTTCTCCGGTTTCTGGCATTGGATTTACAGTACATATATGTGTATAAATATAGATACACATGTGTAAATCAACCAATCAAAGAACATATTTGTATAATTTTGTTTCGTGTTGTGCGCTCGGCAGATGACGGGTTCTTGGATTGTAGGGTTTTGAGATCGAGGTTCAAAGGTACTGGAGGTGGGGGGGGGGGGGTTCCTCGAGGTTTAGGCCGCTGGCTTTTGTTGTGGGAGTTATGCGTTGGGATGTTCCCCCTTATACTAACAGCCCCTTAACAAGGATTATAATGGGGGGATCTAGAATCCCGATTAAGGACTGTTAGTATAAGGGGGAACATCCCAAGAGGTATGCGTGTTGGGTGAGGAGTGTGAGTTTGTAAGCTGCAAACGGCTCAAGTGAGGAGCAACGGACTGTTGGCATAGCCAGAGCCAGAATCTTGACACACCCTATGGTAAACGCTCCCGAAGCCGTCTGTCCACTTACGTGTGGTAAGTCTTTGGAGAGGCCTCCCCTAAACCCTAAACCCTAAACTAAACCCTAAACCTAAACCCTAAACCCTAAACCCTAAACCCTAAACCCTAAACCCTAAACCCTAAACCCTAAACCCTAAACCCTAAACCCTAAACACTAAACCCTAAACCCTAAACCCTAAACCCTAAACCCTAAACCCTAAACCTAAACCCTGCACCTTGCGAATGAGGCATTAGGCTCCGACTGTACTGGATGCCGGGAGTTGGAGGAGTCCCTGATCCAGAGCTTCGGACCCACTGCCAGTGTTGGTCTTTGTTTTGGCCTTCTCTGCTTTTGCTTCCCTAAACCCTAAACCCTAAACCCGAAACCCTAAACCCGAAACCCTAAACCCTAAACCCTAAACGCTGTTGCTTGCTGTTGGGGTGGGGGTGGTGGTAGTGGTGGAGGTGGTGGTGGTTGCTGAGCAGAAGGCAGGTAGTGGTCGTGAACCCCCGGAGTAGCAAAAGCCCTTGCAAATACGAGCCGGACTTTGTCGTAGGAGCTATGCCTACGCGCTTGCAGCTTCGGTTTGTGCGCAATGACGCAAAGATGTTCCAAAGCAAGCCCTTCTGGTGGATTTGCCGCTAGCGCTTGCTTGCTTCGGGTTGCCAGGAAAGACGCCTCTACCTTGGATCAGCACGGACTACATCCGCTCCTCGGCCCAGGTTGAGTTAGGGTTTCTTCTGGTTTTTTCCGCTCGTTGCAAGTGGAGGTCGGACAAAGTTTGGTTCAGTGCAGGGATCCCACAAGCAAGCGTGCAAATAGGATGATGCTTACATGTCAATAATTGCTGTGGTCCAGGTAAGGAGATAGATGCCTGGTTGGAGCATTAAGACCCCTCGCCCTAATATCAAAACCCCCCCCACCCCCTACTTGTAATATTCAAAACCCCCAATATACTATCATATACCTATAATGGGGGGGTATTTCATATTAGGGGGTAGGGGGGTGTAATATTAGGGGGAGGGGATTAAACGTCGAGGTTCACTGGAATCGTACGTGAAGGCTGCCTAACTCGTTTCGCTGCATTCAAATGCAAACGCTTGTCAGGAGATTCAGATCAACCGAGACCGATCGGAACCCAGTTGTCATCCTCCTTTCCGGATTTGGGATTTCCCACCCCACAGTGGTTTAGGTCATCTCGCATTTCTATCAAGGATGTGAAGCCAACCACAGTCGTTCTAGGTCCAAGCCACAACACGAAAGAACACATTCGACCAAAAGACAGCTCGGCTGCGGCTGCTTAGGTTGGAGCGATATTGCCATCGCCCGCCGAGTGTGCAAACACCTGTAACAAACCCCGAGCCTTTGAAACGCCATTCGGGCCTGATCCTCCCAGAATCGCACCCAAACGCCCTGCAACTGAAGGCTCGCACACTGGCTTCTACTTGGCTGGCGTTTTGGCAGATATGGGGACAGAGACAGCGGCGCCAGTGTTCTCAGGCTGCGAAGATCAGGGCGTGTTGGGCGAAATATAATCCTTTAGAAGGGGCTTAGCCCGTGAAGTGTCTGCATGGGACCCCAAAATGCCCAAACTGACGCATCTGCGGGGTTTTATCAAGGAGTGTGTAGTCGCATGTGGAGAGTAGTGCTTTCATGCTGATGTGAGCAGGCTATCGGCTGAGAAGTTTCACAGGCTCGAGGGACGATGTTGCAAGTTTCGTCACCCGACCACTTGTAAGGCTCATGTCCTATGTTGGTCGTGCTGCCGACGGCTTTGATCACACCATCGGCGGCTATGGCGTCGGGCCCGGAAAGTCTCCTAGCAAGCAGAAGGTTTAGAACTCCTGCACTCATGAGTTCACGATGACGATGGTTTGTCCTAGTCCGACAATGCATCTCCAAGCTTGGGGTTGGACCAAATCGAAGTGCCGAAGTCTGACGAAAGTAGCAAGCCAACCTTTCAGGAACACTTCTTCGTCGCTTCGCTTGAGTTTTGAGATTTGTTGAGGCTGGAGGGCAAAGCTGCAGGCTTGTAGCGTTGTAGTGCCGTGCGTCTGTGTATAGCCATCGGCTCCATCATGGCGGGAAGCATTTCATACGATGAATCTACCTGACAGGGCACCACGCTCGACATCGCATACATCATGCAAGGGATGTCACGGTCGAACCGACCCATCCGGTTTGGCATATATCGGGTTCGTCCTCGTTAGACGAACACCACTTATCATCTCCTGAGAGTCTCACAACAAGGCAGTTGTACTGCAGTTGGGGACTGAAGAAGTGGATTGCATCGTAATTGGTGCAGAAGAGCCGCTTGGCTAAGGATGGTGCTCCTGCAGATGATGGAGTATCAGAAGCAGGCCGGGCTGCACGGAAAGGTGCATGTCAGCCGAGCAAAGGGTGGGCTTCAGCCTCGCACATCCGCGCTGAGTCGTAGTCCTGGCCTTACCCGGCCAGTACCCGAGAGTGCTGTCAGCTGCTGTCGAGCATAGTTCAACTCCAGGTCTCATAGCCCTTCAAGCCCTGAAACCTCAGATTCCCAGAAGTTGGTCTAGCGTGTTTTCAAACGAGTTGGGTTTCTGTTGTTTTGTCACCTGCCTTTGTTGCTTGAAAGGGGGTGAGGTGTCGGAATCCGAAACTCAAACAGTGTAAGCATCTTGATCCACAGGGTACCTAGTGCGTTCTTTGCATATTTTGCCCGAATCTGAGGATCTAGTAATCTAGTAAACAGTGCCCCCCCTAGAATACAAATGCCGGGTTTCACATCAGCTTGCGTTTTAGAAGGACATCGGTTTCGGGTCGGTGCTTGCAGGACATCGACGAGCGCTGGTTTGCCGATGAGCGCTACGTCCAGGGTGGCAACTAGCCTTTAGAAGGCCTTTCGAGGAAACTGTCACACCACTTTCCCATGAAGGTGCATGTAGAGCTATCGTGTCGGGGTGTCCGAAATTGGGGGGGGGGGGGGGCACCTTTTGCAGAAGGGAATCCTGCTATTTGGGGGTCCTTTTGTGGGGGTCCCCTTATTCTCCTAAACCCCCCATGTGGGTGGTGGTCTAAACCCTAAACCCTAAACCCTAAACCCCAAACCCCAAACCCTAAATCCTAAACCCTAAGCCCTAAACCCTAAACCCTAAACCCTAAGCGCAGCCCTTTCAGGCTTCTTCGGCACGCGCCTCCTCGGTGCACCGGCCACGCACGTGCAGGCTGCCAAGGAGACGCGGCTAAACAAAATTGCACAGGGTTTAGGGTTTAGGGTTTAGGGTTTAGGGATTTAGGGTTTAGGGTTTAGGGTTTAAAGGTTTAGGGTTCGGTCTTTGTTTTCACGAATTAAGAAGCGCCCAATGGCATGCCGAATTCGTCAGTGAGTCGTTGATCGAGGTTTCGAGTCTTTGGGTTCATGAAGATGGTCCTTCCAACCCCAAAACCCGGGAAACATCGCACAAACATCCTAAACCCTAAGCCCTAAACCCTAAACCCTAAACCCTAAGCCCTAAACCCTCTGTGTTCAGTTGCAAGACCCCTGGTCCGGCGCCTGCCCCCGCCGCAAAAGCCATCCAAGGCCATCTGAGGCCATCGAAGCCCTAATGAACAGTTTAAACCCTAAACCCGAAACCCTAAACCCTAAACCCTAAACCCTAAACCCTAAACCCTAAAACCCTAAAACCCTAAACCCTAAACCCTAAACGTGCCAGGCTTTGGGTTTCTTGGCACCCGCGAGCCTGGGCCACGAGCTGATTGAGCAGAGCCTGCGGATCTGCATCAAGGCGCCCCATCTCGTGTGGGTCCCGCCCCCTCTTTGCCCTCTTAGCCCCTCCCTCCCCCTCCGCAGCAGTTTTTGCAATGCTGCTGCCCAACAGCGGTTGTTCTTCGAGTGTGGCCCTGCATGAGATTTTTGCTCGGGCGCTTTCGGGATTCTTTCCTCTTGGAGTAGTCTTCTTCGTGCCATATGATGATGATGATTCTTATTTTTGTTAGTATTCTTCTTTTATTATTATTTGAATATACATATGACAGCTACAGGCCGTGGTGGACATGGAGATGGAGCTGAGAGGGCAGGTCAAGGAGCGGCTTTCGCGACAGGCCAACGGCATTGCCACCAACAAGCAAGGCCCTAGGCGGAAGTAGGTGGAAGTAGGTGACCCCTTAGGTGACTTTGGTTGATATCCACGGAGGCTAGACTCCCAGACCAGGCGCGACACCTCAAGACCCACATGCTCGACACGTCAACCGCCTTATAGTACCTGTGCGGCTATCTACAAGACCATGAGAAATCGAAGAAGCCCTGAAACCACGTTGGCCGGTTTTACTTGAAGGGTTCTCGTGCTGGAAGATCCATCGCAACAGGAGGTGGATCAAGAGGATGGGGCCTTCTGCGCTGGCGCCCTGCTTGGCTGGCAGGGGCTCTCAGCTTTGCAGATTTTCAAAGGGGAGGGTGGAGGAGGGTGGGGCCAGTTTAATTTTGGACTTTTGGAGTACCACGGTTCATATTGTCGGCAGGCGTTGTCGCAACGATCATATTTGTTTGTGCGGATTGTGCCTCGAAAAGTTGCAGAGTGCGGATTGGGTTGGGAAGCGGAGCAGCAGCAGATGCCTTCAGCAGCAGCAGCAGCAGGAGGCGGCGGCAGCAGCAGCAGCAGCAGCAGCAGCAGCAGCAGCAGCAGCAGCAGCAGCAGCAGCAGCAGCAGCAACAGCAGCAACAGCACAAAAGCAGCAGCAAAAACAGCAGCTGTGGTGGGCACCTGTACTAGAAGAGCAGAGCAAGAAGATGCGCGCTCAACCACACAACAACACAACTCAACTTTTCATTCTTTGACCACATAGCGGCCCATGAGAACACTGCACCTTTTGCAGTGCCCACTCAAACCTGCGAATTTGGCCAGGCTTCGCTTCACGTACCGTTTCCCCGCCTCGCCGCCGCCGGCCCAAGCAGTGGTGGCACTGTGCCTGGGATTGGATGGGGAGGGGGTAGGGGCTCTGGGCAACCGCACTTTGCAGCGAGGCTTGTGCCCAACACATGGTATGCCATGCTGTCTTCGCATGATGCTGAGAATCAGACCTCTTGGCTATGCCGCTGCTGTGACAGTGACATCTGTGCATGATACATGATTCGGCATTCATTTACGCATTGCCGTGCTTTGGGCGCAGATCTTGCGACCGACTTGCCGGATAGTTTTCGATTTCGTTAGGTGTAGCAGATCTGATCAGCTTGCATCTTTATGCTCGGGCATCCCGCACTTGCTTTTAATGTGGGACCCACCTTTTCCAAGTGAGCCACGTGGCTAGGTTAAACGTTAGACTCAGACCTTGTTTCTGTTCTTTCGGGGCCATCATGGGCCATCACTTGTGAAGATATCCACAAATCGACTTCAGATCACCATTCGAGGCAAGTAGAAGTATTTCTTGCCAAGACTGGACGTCCCCAACCCAGCTAGCACAGTTCCTGAGCCTAAACCAACATCAATAGCTCCCAAACATGCCGCAATCCGGTTGAGGACGTCAGTCTTGGCTGCAGCACGGAAGGCATCACGGGATTGTTCTTCGTGCTTATGGTTGTTTTAGATTGAGCTTGTGGATTTCCTTTGAAGGCTTATTCAGTGTTCGGGTTGGCATTTTTGGCAGGGATGAGGGAATGTGTCGTGGAATGTAGCGGGGTTGCCGTGTTGATGTGCTGGCCCTGCGCAGCTATCGAAGGTTATCATCATGGTCGGATTGTTGCCAAGCCAAAAACTCCACGCTGACCTGGAACACACGGGGTGAGGTATTGGTCGAGGGAACGTGTCCAGCCGTGCACCGAAAGGTCTACATGCAGGTTCGAAATCTGCTCGTAGTTGCGATCCAGTCATCCGCTGCCCCGATACACAAAACGAACGGCGGGAGCAGCAACACCGCCACCGCCACCGCCGCCGCCTTCCACCTCCACCACCCATCACCGCCCCTACCACCCCCACCGCCACCGACCACAGGGGAGCCCCTAGTATAGGACCCCTGATAGTAGGATTCCCTGATAGTAAGGACCCCAATAAGGTACCCCTTGTATCGTAGTCCGTGTTGCAGATGATGGTCCAGCTCGATCGCCGCATTGCGAAACTGCCTCTCGGCTGTGCTGCCCTTGCGAGGCTTCCGGCGTTGCAATTCGGGGGTTTACGATACTAGGGGTATCTTATTGGGGTCCCTATTATAAATGCCTTATTGGGGTCTTTACTATAAATGCTAGGGGTACCTTATTGGGGTCCCTATGATAGGGGGATTTCGAGTCGACTTGCCTTCGGCCGATCTTCAGGGCTCGGATCCAGAATGGGTGGGTCATAGCGGGGCGAATGGGAGGCCTTCGTTAGCGCCTTCTTACATAGTTACATTGGCAACAGGTGCCATTGGTTTTCCCCCCGCATGTGGCATGCGAAGAAGCGAAGCAAGGTACGTGAAAAGCGACGACGTCAAGGGATGTTGCTATTTCTTGGGCTGAGGTGGCCCATCATCCAAAAGTCTGAAGAGCTGCTCCGACGCTACGGCGAGGCCGGGGTTGGGGCCCGGATTTGTTCGCATGGAGAACATTGACCCGGCATTTTTTTTGCGCAGGTCATCTGTGTTCCCTTGAAGTCCCAACATGAAGCACTCCAGCATAGGACGGAGATGCAGTGTTTAACAATGGTCCTCCCCCAAGCCTGTGGTTCTCGACTTGGCACCACGTGTCACTCTTAATTCATCAATTTGTGCTCCCCAACTTGTTTTTCTGGCTAGTTTCTTTTGGAAACCTAGCCGAAACGTCGTCTCGGAACGTGCCACACTCTCATCATTCAGTGTTGAGGTTTGAGAGTCCCCCCAACCCTTTTGGTTAAGAGCACCTCTGCCGCCATCTGGCGACGACGCCGCAGTTTCTGTGAACAATCGGCATCTCTACAAGTACTAGATTCGTAGCACTTCGTAGGTCTCCCACAACGCAGAATTGCAGTCGAAAAAGTGTACAGCGGCCGCGATGTTCCTTCGCAACCGGTCTCTCAGGGAATTTGACCGGCGATGGCGGAAGCATGGAGTTGGGGATGCTACTGTCCAAGACGCCACAAGTCCCAGGCTCCAGGCTTCATCCGCACCATGTGAGGGTTGACGAAAATAGGGGACCCTGAAATAGTAGGATCCCCTTGTAATAAGGACCCCAAGAATCGGAAAACCTCCATGTTGTCCCTTGGTGAAGGAGGTGGAGGAGACCAGGCTGATCCAGCTGGACTGCCGCGGCTGCTTCCTGAGATCTGCCTCTCGGCAGCCCGAGCACCGGGCACCTTTAAAGACACTCCATCCCAAAGCTCCATTACAAGTCTCCAGCTCCTACACTTGTCCTCACAACCCAGGTCTCTATCATAAAGCCCAGGGCGAATTCCGCTCGGATTTGACATTCGCTCAAAAGGGTCCGGGCATGGCTGAGATGCGTGAGAACCTTAGAAGTGTTGACAGATGTTGGCTTCACTCTGCCACGAGTTGCCAGCACCGGGGGGGAAACCAGCGGAGCCATGACTTTTGCTCCATGTTTCGGGAAATTTCGAGGAACTTTGAACGCTGTGAGCCTTTGGGTTGGAGCGAACAAATTTCAGACTAGAGAGCCGAACGGCAGTGGCTCGTGTGGGTTTGCTTGACTGTTGTATCATACTCCATGCTGGAGATCTGGTTGTGGTTGGCAGGCAGGTAGGAAAGCTACTGCAACAGCTGTGTCTACCGGACTGCCGAGAGAAGCCGCTGTGTCAGACAAGTTCCACTCGCAACCAAAGGCAGTCTGCCAAAGCCGAAACCTTGACAATCACATGAGACCATCCGTGCTTTTGGAGGGTGCGAATTGTCACTTCGTCATTTCGTGCCGGGCTTGGGGGCATGGGTTTGGATGCGTTTCCAGGCCAGTTAGGGCTAGTGTGCGGCCGTTCATGCTGAACTGATCTGAACAGACTTCTGCCGGAGGCTCCTCTTAACAACTCCTGAGCCGCCGTAAAGCCTTCGGCCCCCCCTTTTTCGGCGTCTGGCCTCTGTTCAAGGATCTCTCGGTCGATGTGGTGCCGTGGGTGCAGCTGCATCGTTCTGGGATCCCAGCCGCCGGTGTCGCCCTCAGAACCGATGGAGTTCGTATCCCAACCAAACAGAAGCGAGACCGTCAGGACTCCCATGAGACTCGCAAACCCCCTTAGAAGAGCACGACCCCAAAAAAGTCTGGCGCTCTCAAGGAGAGCGCCAGACTTTTTCTGAGAGCCCGAATAGGTGGTGCTGAGCCCAGATGAGTCCCAGAATTTGAACTCTGCCAACGCTCCGTGCAGGCCTGGGCTTGGCCGGCTTCGAGCGCAACGACCGCGCGACACTGGAAGTCTGAGAGAGGGGTTAGGGCCTGGTTAGGGTTTAGGATGTATATTTAGGGTTATTCAGGGTTCAGGGTTTAGAACCTCCCCCTCCCAAAATAACTGTACAGCAGGGAAGCACCTCTGAGCCGTGAACCTGAGAATGTTTTCCGAAGCTTTGCCTTTGCACAAGGACCGCGCTCGCCTGCGAGGCGTTCCTGCAGGTGCGTGGCCGCCTCTTCGCCGCTCAGCTTCAGAGGGCTCTTCAGGGCGCTTGGGCCTTTGTGTGTGTTACAGTTGCTGCGTTGAGTTGTGAACTGCTTCCTGTGTGCCGCCAAACTGAGTAGTGACTCCACGTTTTCAAGTTTGATTTCGCGGAAAGCTCATGTTTTGGGCGGGTCCGTAGGGGTTCACGGCATAGGCCCAGGGATGTTTAAGCCAGTCCTTCATGTGAAGTTCATGCCTCAGCAGAGCAACTGCGCACAGTCTGGGAAGCTCGTTTTGACATTGTCCGTTTCACTTCTGACAAGGCCAAAACCTTTTTCTTGGAGTCTTTATTGGAGACGAAAAAGTGTTAACATTAATCGTGGTGCATTGCTGCCGAATTTTGGGACCACAGACGCAGAAACCCGCGCCAGAACCGCACAAAGCGCGCGCAAGCGCGCCCGGCCTTGTGAGCCCCCGGGCTCACCCTGTGATCCTCCGGTCTTGCAAACGGGTTGCTGATTTTGTGCACTTGTCCGACGATCGCTGTTGTAAGCTGACCGTGTTGCCTGCCCCTGGACACATACTTGTACGGCAAAACAAGCTTGGAACGTGACCCTGCGCGTGCACAATCCGCGCAAACGCCCCCCCGGGCTGAAACTGGGTACTGTAACTGGGTTAAAAGAATACGTTGGACAACGTCGTCTGCTCATGCATTCTTGAATCGGAGATTGTCAACTTGCGAAGGTTGCGGTGCAGCCCACACGGGTCTCCCCTTCCCTCTGCCCCTTTCCCGCTCCTCGTTCAAGCCGCGTTCTGGGCCGTTTCCAGGAGGTCTTGTCCAGGTTGTCTGCAAGGGAATCCCAACCCCTGCGCCCGCAACTCTATTAAATTACCCTGACAAAATAGCATGTGCATTGGTGGACCGGTCATAGGCCAGTTGCTTGTTCAGGAAGCTTTCTGTTAAACACCAAGCTGGACCGCTAATTAGTTCCCCTGAACCGGCACGCACTCTGCATGAACCCTGCGTGCCCCATGTTCCCATGCTGCCCCTTCCCCTTACCTTGCCATGGGCTGTCGTTCCCCTTGCGCCCTCAAGTACGCGGATGTCTGGTTTTGGAATGTTGGGTGTTTTGGGGCTGGCGTTTGTTTTGTTTAGGAGTTGTTTCGCTCGCAGTTGGAACCAGGACACTGCCTTCAGCTACCAGCAGCAACTTGCCTGCAGCGAGGAATTCAACCAGTGACGGCAAGAAGAGTTGTACTCGCACAGCGAAGACATGTCTAAGACAACGCAGGGCTGTGTTTGTCGCGAAGTTCATGGGCCCATGCCTCAACGCCAAACTTGTCCGAACTTCCCCCGAAGCAACCTTCGAACCCTCACTTTGCGTAGGGGAGCGGAGCCTTGGAGGCAGAGAGGCATTCATGCTGCGGTCATCGCAAAAGCTCTGCCCCGGTCTGCGGTGACGATCATCAGTGCCTCGGACCGAATTCTTTGGGTTTTTTTCGGCAGGTTGGTCCCTCTTAAATCCTGTTTCCTAAGCCCTAAACCCTCAACCCTAGGGGGGAGGGGGGGGCTTTTGAGAGTTTTGGCGTCAAGGCTTGCAAGGCAACTGGTCCAGGATTGGATAGCTTTGAGGAACTCGGGGAGATAACGAAGGCAAGCCTCCAGTTGTAGGAGTTTGAGAGAGCAGGTTAACGTTTATCGCAGGGAGACGGATGTCCGGGGCTGAGGATTCAAACTGCAGGGTCTTTGTTTCGCTCCCAGGTCTCAGGGTTTCAGGGTGTAGGTTAAGGGGTTTGAATCTCAGTGCTTCCTGTGTCTAGACTCGGAGTTGGGTTTTTTGACTCACCACCCTAACATACCCTAAACCCTAAACCCTAAACCCTAAACCCCAAACCCTAAACCCTAAACCCTAAACCCCAAACCCTGAACCCCGGGTTTAGGAAGGGCTGGGATGAAGTCACCCTCGTCAGGCAAAGTTCCACTGGGGGAGGCCGAGGTGCCGGGAAATCCTTGGCATCCCTTTGACACCCCCTTTCTTTGGTTTTGGATTTAAATGTTTCGGGTTCAGATAAGGTTTCGGGTTTGGGGTTTAAGGTTTCGGGTCTTGGGTTTCGGGTTTAGGGTATGCTCCTGAAGCCCGAGAACCTAAAAATCCATGATCCTTGAACAGCCCCGAAAGGGACCCATACACCCGAGGCTTGCACCCCAATCCCTCTAGCTGCAAGAGCCCCGAAACCATAAACATCCATAAACCCTAAACCCTAAAATCTCGAGAGTTGAGAGGTAACACTGGATCACAGACTCGCCTGTCGACTTTTGCCGTGGGAAGTCGCAGGAAGCCACAGAACCAGAGAATGCGCCCGAAACCAACCGCAGCAGCTTCCATAAAGTAATTCCGAGTGGTGTGAGGGTTGAGGGTTTAGGGTTTAGGGTTTAGGGTTTAGGGTTTAGGGGTTCGGTCGCGCATTGTTTAGAGGGCTCAAGGCGATTCAAGCCTGAGTTGTTGGGTTTTTGTGCTGATAGGTTTGCGGATCGTTTTAGAAGGCTTCGGTCCATAGTTCAAGTCCTAGAACTTCAGCATGCCTTGGTTGTGCTTCGCGAAAACCAACTTCTCATTCTTCTCAGGAGCCCTCGCTTGTCCCTGCACTACCAGAAATGATGTAAAGCAACGGCTCCCGAAAACATTATGCTCAAGGATAATCTATCAATTCAACTAGAGAGAGCGAGAGCGAGCGAGGAGGTGGCGCAGGCGATCTCCAAAACTGCGGAGGAGCTTGGCGGTTACGCCGATGCTTCTAGGCTGAAGTTGGAGTTGGGGGGGGGGGGGGCTGAGGGCAATTTTTAGGGATCGCGACAGGGTTTGTGGATTCAGGAAGGGCTTTTCCGGCTTCAGGACTACAGGGCATTGAGTCGCTTGGAAACGACTTAATGTTTGACCTTCTTTTGATCGCAGCTCGCCCTCTGGGCAGGTCTTGCTCCTCCACACTCCTGGCAGACCCAAAGGAGCCGCAGACGCAGACAATGGAGCGCTCCTCACGTGCAAGAAGGCAAGTGGGAACCGAAGATTCCAGGCTTTTGTAGGGCATGAAGGCTCGGGAGTTGCCGGGTTGGCGCAAACACTTCAGCGTTTGTGCTTGTAGGGAGTTTCGAGCCGCAGGGTCTAGGATCTACAGGACCGATAGAGAGGAGTTAGCAGACAGCCTTCAGTGTTGGTGAACGTAGTGCCAGTGGTTCAAGTTCAGACCGATGGTGCCAGCCAGCTTTGAAGGCAGAACCTTGAAAGGAGTGAGCAGCAAGCGATCGCAAGCGAACCAGTGCAGACCCTCCAGCCGAAAGGAGCCCTCGCCTGAATCCTACTTGGAATAGGCTCATGGCAGCTACAAGTACCTGTTTTCTGTTCTTGAGTTAGCTGACCTGTCTGCTGCCCTGACTTTCTCCTGCCTGCAGCGAGCTACCCGAAATTTACGCCTCCTGTGAGCCTTGAAGCCCTCATGAACCATCTTGCAGACACCAAAACCTCCCGCCATGTCCGACAAGCACGCACCCGGAGAGCAGGCCACTTGGAAGGAGTGCCGGCTGCTGGCTTGGCAGCTCCCTGCTTCGATTACAAGATGCCCATGCCCACGCCCAGAATTCAAACCCTAAGGCCCCAAGGTATCAGGTGGGGTTGAAGGGCGCCGGGTCAAGCTTGAAAGATCTGAAACAGCATTTTGAGGCGATTCCCATTTAAGTCATCTAAAGGTTCTGGAGGTGGGCTCGCGGCAGGAGCATGCGTAAGTTGAGATTCTTTGCTTCTTCTGCACGCTGACCCGGGGCATGCCTTGCGTGTCAGAGCATGCAGAGCAACTGGCTAGTGGTCTGGGTTGAGAGTTCCGTTGCTTGCAATTTACGTGTGCCTGACAGTGACTAGCATCACGACGGCGATGACTGAGTCAAAACCCCCAAAGCACAGTCGGGGATGTACACCCTAGTGCCCACACAGTCTAGCCCTCAACCCCCATCGCTTCATCACCCCCTAAACCCTAAACCCTAAACCCGAATCCCCCCCGAGCCCGGCCTGAGGCAGTTGATGCGGGCTCAGCACGATGGCCTGGTGAAGGAAGCGCTCCATTTCAGTTCGCCCAATCTGCTCCAACCACCGTCAGCTACTTTTAGGGTTTAGGGTTTAGGGTCAGACTTCCAGAAAGTTGAATTTGTTGCTCCCAGCGCTCAGGAACCGTGGAAGCCTCAACCACTTCGAGACCTCAACCTCCCTCTGCAAGCCCAGCGAACCATGCTCCCAAGCCCCGTGTGGTTTGGGTATCTTGGGATTTTGCGGGCCCCAAACCCTAAACCCTAAACCCCGAACCCCAAACCTAACAGAAGGGTGCGCTGTGGGGCCTGTGTTTTTTTTAACGCTCTTCGTGGAAGATTCCGTTGTTTGAGGTTGGACGGGCGAAGTTAAGTAGTTGAACTATACTAAGGTTAGATGGGCGTGGTTGACTGTCATACGTTACTGGTTAGGTAAGGTTAACTTGATTTCTTATGGTTCATTTTTATAGAGTTTTTTTGTGTAGAGGAAGGGTTTGCTTATAAGCAGATGGCTTGCTTATAAGCATTGATTCTTTGGGGGTGGGGGGGAGGGGGGGGGGGCTCTTCGTTGAAGATTCCGTTGTTTGAGGTTGGATGGGCGAAGTTAAGTAGTTGAACTATACTAAGGTTAGATGGGCGTGGTTGACTGTCATACGTTACTGGTTAGGTAAGGTTAACTTGATTTCTTATGGTTCATTTTTAGGGTGGGGGGGGGGTGGGTGAGGGGGGAGGGGGGGGGGGGGGGGGGTGTTGCAGCTTAAATAGGGTCTATTTGGAAGCTGGGAATCGTATTTACAAGAGGAAAACAGGCCCCAAAACGTATACTTATTCACAAGAGCCATGTTCCAAATAGACCCTATTTTAGGTCCTGTAGGGTTGCACAGACAGAATTTAATTCATTAAATTCCTTAATTTCCACTTTCCCCCTGGAATTTAATGAATTTAATCAATTAATTCAATTAATTCATTTATTTCCAAAGGGGGGGTGGAATTAATTGAATTAGTTGAATTAATTGAATTAATTGAATTAATTGAACCCGCCCCTTTGGAAATAAATGAATTACTTGAATTAATTGAATTAATTGAATTAATTGAATTAATTGAATTAATTGAATTAATTGAATTAATTGAATTAATTGGAATTAATTCAATTAATTCAATTAATTCCACCTCCCTTTGGAAATAGATGAATTAATTGAATTAATTGAATTAGTTGAATTATTTCGATTAATTCAATTAATTCAATTAATTCATTTATTTCCAAATGGGGGGGATTCCCCAGCCCCCACCCCTCCCCCCCCTTTGGAAATAAATGAATTAATTGAATTAGTTGAATTAATTGAATTAATTGAATTAATTGAATTAATTGAATTAATTGAATTAATTCAATTAATTCAATTAATTCAATTAATTCATTTATTTCCAAAGGGGGGGTGGAATTAATTGAATTAATTTAATTAATTGAATTAATTCAATTAATTCAATTAATTCAATTAATTCAATTAATTCATTTATTTCCAAATGGGGGGGATTCCCCAGACCCCACCCCCCCAGCTCGATTTGGCCAAATTTTGCCCGGAGGCTGCCCGGCAAAATTTGGCCAAATCGAGCCGCGCCTTTCTGGAGGCCCGAAATTATTTAAACTATCGCGGCTCGATTTGGCCAAATTTTGCCGGGCAGCCTCCGGGCAAAATTTGGCCAAATCGAGCCACGCATTTCTCATCGCATACGAAGGGCAGCCCGATTTGGCCAAATTTTGCCCGGAAGCTGCCCGGCAAAATTTGGCCAAATCGAGCCGCGATAGTTTAAACAATTTCGGGCCTTCAGAAAGGCGCGGCTCGATTTGGCCAAATTTTGCCCGGAGGCTGCCCGGCAAAATTTGGCCAAATCGAGCCGCGCATTTCTCATCGCGTTCGACGAGCAGCCCGATTTGGCCAAATTTTGCCCGCAGACTGCCCGGCAAAATCTGGCCAAATCGAGCCGCGCCTTTCTGGAGGCCCGAAATTATTTAAACTATCGCGGCTCGATTTGGCCAAATTTTGCCGGGAAGTCTGCGGGCAAAATTTGGCCAAATCGGGCTGCTCGTCGTACGCGCTGAGAAATGCGCGGCTCGATTTGGCCAAATTTTGCCGGGCAGCCTCCGGGCAAAATTTGGCCAAATCGAGCCGCGCATTTCTCATGGCATACGAAGAGCAGCCCGATTTGGCCAAATTTTGCCCGCAGGCTGCCCGGCAAAATTTGGCCAAATCGAGCCGCGATAGTTTAAATAATTTCGTTCATTAGTTTTCATTGAAATGCAAATGGGGGGGATTCCCCAGCCCCCACCCCCCCCCTTTTCTTTGGAAATAAATGAATTAATTGAATTAATTCGTAATATACTTATTCACAAGAATCTAAAATAGACCCTATTTTAGGTCCTGTAGGGTTGCACAGATAGAATAATTTAAATTCAATTGATTCATTTATTTCCAAAGGGGGGCTGAAATTAATTGAATTAAATTATTTCAATTATTTCAATTAATTCAATTAATTCAATTTCAATTAATTCAATTAATTCAATTAATTCAATTAATTCAATTAATTCAATTAATTCAATTAATTCAATTAATTCAATTAATTCAATTCATTTCCAAATGGGGGGGATTCCCCAGCCCCCACCCCTCCCCCCCTTTGGAAATAAATAAATTAATTGAATTAATTGGATTAATTGAATTAATTGAATTACTTGGAATATTGAAATAATTCAATTAATTCATGTATTTCAAAAGGGAGCTGAGGGGGGCTGAAATAATTGAATTAATTGAATTAATTGAATTTGAATTAATTGAATTAATTGAATTATTTCAAGTATTTCAAATAATTAATTATTCAATTAATTCATCTATTTCCAAAGGGGGGGATTCCCCAGCCCCCAGCCCCCACCCCCCGCAATTGAATTAATTGAATTAATTGAATTAATTGAATTAATTGAATTAATTGAATTAATTGAATTAATTGAATTAATTGAATTAATTGAATTAATTGAATTAATTGAATTAATTGAATTAATTGAAATAATTGAATTAATTGAATTAATTGAATTAATTGAATTAATTCAATTAATTCATTTATTTCCAAAGGGGAGCTGAGGGGGGCTGAAATTACTTGAATTAATTGAATTCATTGAATTATTTCAATTAATTCAATTAATTCAATTAATTCTCTTAATTCCCTTTAATTCAATTAATTCAATTAATTCAATTAATTCAATTAATTCAATTAATTCAATTAATTCAATTAATTCAATTAATTGATGTATTTCCAAATGGGGGGGGATTCCCCAGCCCCCAGCCCCCACCCCCCCTGAATTAATTGAATTAATTGAATTAATTGAAATAGTTGAATTAATTCAATTAATTCATTTATTCTCAAAGGGGAGCTGAGGGGGGCTGAAATTAATTGAACTAATTTAATTATTTGAATTAATTGAATTAACTGAATTATTTCAATTAATTCAAGTAATTCAATTAATTCAATTAATTCAATTAATTCAAATAATTCAATTAATTCAATTAATTCAATTAATTCAATTATTTTCAAAGGGGAGCTGAGGGGGGCTGAAATTAATTGAATTAATTGAATTAATTGAATTAATTGAATTAACTGAATTAATTGAATTAATTGAATTACTTGAATTGCTTGAATTACTTGAATTAATTGAATTAATTGAATTAATTGAATTAATTGAATTAATTGAATTAATTGAATTAATTGAATGAAATGAATTAATTGAATTAATTGAATTAATTGAATTAATTGAATTATTTCAAATAATTCAATTAATTCAATTAATTCAATTAATTCAATTAATTCAATTAATTCAATTAATTCAATTAATTCAATTAATTCAATTAATTCAATTAATTCAATTAATTCAATTAATTCAATTAATTCATTTATTTCCGAATGGGGGGAATCCAGCCCCCAGCCCCCACCCCCCCCTTTGGAATTAATGAGTTAATTGAATTACTTGAAATAATTGAAATAATTCAATTAATTCATTTATTTTCAAAGGGGAGCTGAGGAGGGCTGAAACTCAATTAATTCATTTATTTTCAAACGGGAGCTGAGGGGGGCTGAAATTAATTGAATTAATTGAATTACTTGAATTAATTGAATTATTTCAATTAATTCAATAATTCAATTAATTCAATTAATTCAATTAATTCATTTATTTCCAAATGGGGGGGATTCCCCAGCTCCCAACCCCCACCCCCCCTTTGGAAATAAATGAGAAATTGAATTAATTGAAATAATTGAAATAATTGAATAATTGAATTAATTCAATAAATTCATTTATTTTCAAAGGGGGGCTGAAATTAATTGAATTAATTGAATTAGTTCAATTAATTCAATTAATTAAATTAATTCAATTATTTACAAAGGGGGGGGGGGGGTGGGGGCTGGGAAATCCTCCTCCCTCAAATTTAATTCCCCATCATCTCCCATCATCTCCATCATCTACCATCACCTTCATCATCTCCCGTCATCTCCAGCATCCCCCACTATTCCTCATCCTCTCTCATCATGTCTCATCACCCCTCATCTCCGAGCATCATCTTCATCATCTTCATCATCTCCATCATCTTCATCATCTCCAGCATCTTCATCATCTTCTTCATCTCCCATCATCTTCTTCATCTCCATCATCTCCCATCATCTTCAGTCTGAAAAACTCAAATATTCACCACCGTTCGCGGGGGGCTCCGCCCCCCGCACCCCCTGGATCGAGGGATAATTTCGGGCCTTCAGAAAGGCGCGGCTCGATTTGGCCAAATATTGCCGGGCAGTCTGCGGGCAAAATTTGGCCAAATCGGGCTGCTCGTCGCGCGCGATGAGAAATGCACGGCTCGATTTGGCCAAATTTTGCCGGGCAGCCTCCTGGCAAAATTTGGCCAAATCGAGCCGTGCCTTTCTTATCGCATAAGAAGAGCAGCCCGATTTGGCCAAATTTTGCCCGGAAACTACCCACCAAAAGTTGGCCAAATCGAGCCGCGATAGTTTAAATAATTTTGGGCCTTCAGAAAGGCGCGGCTCGATTTGGCCAAATTTTGCCGGGCAGCCTCCGGGCAAAATTTGGCCAAATCGAGCCGCGCCTTTTTATCGCATAAGAAGAGCAGCCCGATTCGGCCAAATTTTGCCCGGAGGCTGCCCGGCAAAATTTGGCCAAATCGAGCCGAGCATTTCTCATCGCGTACGACGAGCAGCCCGATTTGGCCAAATTTTGCCCGCAGACTGCCCGGCAAAATTTGGCCAAATCGAGCCGCGCCTTGCAAAAGTCCTGCAAACACCGCACAAAACGGCAGAGGGTAGGAACAACATTTGTGGGTCAAAATTTGCCGGGATCCCTTGGCGCCCTGCAAAAGTCCTGCAAATACCACAGAAAACGGCAGAGGGTAGGAACAACATTTGTGAATCAAAATTTGCCGGGATCCCCTTGGCGCCCTGCAAAAGTCCTGCAAATGCCACACACAACGGGAAAAGGTAGGAACAACATTTGTGGGTCAAAATTTGCCGGGATCCCCTTGGCGCCCTGCAAAAGTCCTGCAAATACCACACAAAACGGCAG